AAATTACCATTTTGGTTGAATCTCAAACTTTTGGTTGACTTTCTAAGTTTTTGATTGACTTTCTAAGTTTTTGATTGACTTTCTAAGTTTTTGGTTGACTTTCTAAGTTTTTGATTGACTTTCTAAGTTTTTGGTTGACTTTCTAAGTTTTTGGTTGACTTTCTAAGTTTTTGGTTGAACTCAAAAAAGTTTTGAACTCAAATGTCACAAACGGGGGTAGTGGCGCAGGGAGTAGAGAAGCCAGGCTTGTGATCGGAAGATAGCTGGTTCAACTCCAGGTTGGTCTCCATGTTGCACATGTGTGATAGGTTAAATGTAGAGACTTAAAGGAGACCCATTGTGCAAAATTCACTTTTTAAAAGTTTTTTTTACTCAACTTTGGGTGTGTACTTCTTATGAAAACAGTCCTAGGACCAAAAACATGCACCCAAAGGCATATTTACTGTAAGTAATTGTATTTTAATGTATATTAATGACAAGTTTTATACATTTTGTGATGTCACAAGCCGTACGACAACCCACCAGAAACTGCGTTGGTAAATGGTAAATGGACTGTACTTATATAGTGCCTTTCTATCCATCAGGGACACTCAAAGCGCTTTACAATAACAGACATTCACCCATGCACACACACATTCACACACTGATGATGGCAAACTACAATTGTAGCCACAGCTGCCCTGGGGCRCACTGACAGAGGCGAGGCTGCCATACACAGGTGCCACCGGACCCTCTGACCACCATCAGTAGGCAAGGTGGGTAAGGTGTCTTGCCCAAGGACACAACGACTGAGTCGACTGGATGGGAATCGAACCGGYRACCTTCCGGTTCCAGGTCAACTCCCCTAACCACTCTACCACAGCCGCCCCTGCGTTCAGCCTCTTACCTAGCAACCCCCAGGTGAAGCTGCTCCTCCGTATAAAAAGCCGTCACGGTGTTGTTGTGTAAAGTGCAGCTCATTTCACAACAAGCCTCCAATAGGGCAATGGGTAGAGTGTTGGACCAGAGAGTGGGAGACCAGGGATTGAGACTGACTTAGACACAAAGAACTTAAAATTTTTATTTTCGTTTGTTATGAACATGTTTTCTCATGTACTTCTATTGTTTAGCTTATTAAAGCCTTGTTAAAACCTATTTGCCAAAGTTGAGTAAAAAAAACCTTTAAAAAGTGAATTTTGCATAATAGGTCTCTTTTAGCCTAGGTAGCCGGTTCAACTCCAGGATGGTCTCCATGTTGCACGTGTGTTCACATGTGTGGTAGGTTAAATGTAGAGACTTAAAAGCATAATAGCATAATAGGTCTCTTTTAAGGAATGAGCACAGCATCCGTAATTTCAAAATAAGACGCCATAATTTTGTCAAAATCCCAGCTATATTAATAAATATATGGATATATTCCTACTCAAATGCTGTCAGAATGTATCGTTCTGTTTGGGAAGCAGATGGAAATATGTAGCATGCAGCATATGTGCACACACACGATACATGTGGATTTTATTTTGAAATCAGAAGTTTCAAAAAGACAACAGCGATACAGTTTTCAACCATAGAAATCAAAAGCTTTTATATCAATGTTTTCAGCTGTGTTTGGAGTTTATCTTTCACAGAATTAATTATTTTTTTGCTGTGACTTCCACATTTATCACTGGATTTATTGACTGATCTCCTTCCTGCACACACTCCCTCCTCTGTGTGTCGCACCGCAGCAGAGCAGAGTGGAGCGGAGGCTGTATAAATTGGGTTGTAAATGAAGAGCTGTGAACTGCACAGCGGAGTCGCATGTAGTGTAAATCCGGGGTGAGGGTCGGTACTGAAGCATCATTTGACCCGTTTCCTGAACAGGTTTTTAGTAGTGAGGTGGCTGAACTTATTTTTATATTATTATAAATCTAAAAGCTGCCACAAAAAATATTATCAACTATTTAAATTTAGCCTAATCATTGAAAACATGGATAAAATAAAAAATATGAAACATATAAAATACATATAAAACATACTGACTWTTTTAAAATCTGAATTTTTGGAGACAAAAATGGCAGTATACAGTATGTATAGACTTGCATACAGTATTGCAGTATATCATGATCATATCGTGATATATATATATATATATATATATAGTATTGTATTGTGACCCCTGTGTCATGATATGTAGGATATCACCAAATTCTTGCCAACACACAGCCCTATAACTCAGTCAGCTTTACACTTACTGAGCTCACTCTTAGTGTGGATGTAGCAACACAGGTAGTGTTGAGCATCACTCTCAGCTACTGTTTGCTGAGGCGGCCATTTTGAACTGGGCTAACTTCAGGAGTTAATCAGTTGTAGACGTACATCCAATAATTACCTTCATTACATTGTCTAATGCTTCATGAGATATTTTGCTAACAGTGGATTATAAGAAGCCTGAGACTATCTGAAGAGCTTAAGCCCCTCTGGTGAAAAATAATCATTAATGCAAACAAGGCAGCCTGAAACAGAGTCAGAAAGTTTAAAGCACTCAGAATAAAATGTAACGGTTAAATGTGGCATGCAGCAAACACAACAACAATCCAGCTTCACATCCCAGAAAAATGAGTGGAAACATAAACAGCGGGGCCAGGCCAGCTGAGGGGAGTTTAAACATCAGCTTGTAATGGACCAAGTGATTCTGAGCGAGCTGAAGCTTTGAAGCTAATCATCTGTGAACTCTGTGATTCACTGATTTAATGACTGAAATAATATTCAAGCATCCAGCTCCTCATCTGCACAGCAGACACACAGCCACGGCTGCCTTTCCTACCATTCATACTTCACTTTGGGAAAAATGGAAAGTTAAACAGAATAAAGGTTTATGAGTGAAAATGAATTCCATAAACAGATCAAAGTAATTTACACACTCACTTCTGAATCGCTCAAGAAAGTGCCGTCCCACATACCAGCAGGCTGTCTCAAAGTTGGGGAAGGGGGTCAGGGTCTTGACCTTTAGCCGCTTTTCAATTTCATATGCTCTGAGAAGAAACAATATATTTCAGCTAAATATCATCCTGCGTTCCCAACAGGTCCTACAAAGACTCTACAAAGACTTGCAAAGACTTGGCAAAGACTCTACAAAGACTCTGCAAAGACTCTGCAAAGACTCTGCAAAGACTCTGCAAAGACTCTGCAAAGACTGCAAGGACTCTACAAAGACTCTACAAAGACTCTGCAAAGACTCTACAAAGACTCTGCAAAGACTCTACAAAGACTCTGCAAAGACTGCAAGGACTCTACAAAGACTCTGCAAAACTCTACAAAGACTTGCAAAGACTCTACAAAGACTCTGCAAAGACTCTGCAAAGACTCTGCAAAGATTCTGCAAAGATTCTGCAAAGATTCTGCAAAGACTCTGCAAAGACTCTGCAAAGACTCTACAAAGACTCTACAAAGACTCTACAAATACTCTACAAAGACTCTGCAAAGACTCTGCAAAGACTCTGCAAAGACTCTACAAAGACTCTACAAAGACTCTGCAAAGACTCGGCAAAGACTCAGCAAAGACTCTGCAAAGACTCGCAGACAGGAATTCAGTGGGATTTAAAGTTCAAAACAAGTTCTAGCTGAAAACCTGGCTGGAGACAACACCCCCAACCTTCAGGACTCTATGAATTTGATGAGATCAAACCTCATCTGCATCTCCACACTCAGGTTGTGAACGAAGTGTCCAGAAAACGCCAGGCAGTCCACTGGAGTCAAAACTGCATTGATCCAACCTGAGACCCAAAACACAAAGACAGGAGTAATTGGCACCATTAGTTATAATGTGTGGGTGTATGTGTATGTGTGTGTGGGCACATTTTTAAGGTCAGGTAGTTTTAGGGTCAGGTAGGTTTACCTGTGAGATTAGTTTAAGGGTAAATGATCAGGGTTAGGATATAAAGTCTAAAAAAATGAATGGAAATCAATCCATGGTCCCCACGGGGATATACAGACACATCAGTGTGTGTGAATGCCTATTTGCTACATCATGGGGACCATTTTCCAGAAAACAGCCTTGTGGGACCCAATGATCCTTGTGGGGACAAAAGCCTGGTCCCCACAGGTATGGATGCTGAGTTTGGATGAGGCGTTAGGTTTAAGGTAAAGGGTCCGGGTCATCTGGAAAATGAATGGAAGTCAATGCAAAGTCCCCATAAGGATAGAAGGACAAACATGTGTGTGTATGTGAAGAGAATGAAACTATGGTAGAACTACACACAGGACGAGTCAAGCTGAAGCTATCCAGGACAGGCACCCCAAGAGTCTGGCTGCTGCAGCTCCTCCAGAGCTGCTTTCTAAATACAATTCAGTGATGTAAGGTTGGGTTCTCTCTGTTATTAATCCGTGCGCAGAGATTCTAAATCCGGCCCAGTTTAGTTATTCTGCCAGCAGACGTTATCTTGGTTAAATTGTTTGGGTTCAGAAACAGTAAAAAGTTGGACAAATCCTCATTTCCAGATTCATGAACTTGTAAACAAGACATCAAACCTGTGAAACTGCAAACATTACAGACCAGAAAACAGAACTCCAGAGTTCTACGATCTGATCAGTCTCTAACTGAATAATAAAAGAGAAGTAAAAATATAAATGTCTGATTTATAAACATAATAATATGATATATGATTTAGGGGAAAATACAGGCAGTTATTTTGATTTTATTAAATATTACAGCCTGATTTTGGTAGACGTTTCTTTAAACCTTTTATTCTTTATCCCAACTAAACTACCAGCTGCAGATCTGTGTGTACAGTTTATTAAACTAAGCTGAATAAACTTGAAGAAATTTTTTGGGGTTGTTTACAACTGATTTATAAAGACACTACACATTGTATAGTCTTTTTTTAGGTGAACAGTAATCTATTTCTATAATGTGGTTATCTCTGAGTTAATTGATGATTTTATGTGCAGACTGGGTTGTGGGCCTCTTGATCAGGGTTCCACAGACTCAGGAGGCTTTTAGTCAGATACATGTCTGATTTAAAAACAACACATAAGAACCGTGATCAAACATTAGTGTGAGGGATGATGTTTGACATCTTGACTCCATATAGGAGTAGCCTGCCTCTTTAACATATGTCATGAGGTGGAGTCAGGATGTGAAAAAAGCTGTTACTTGATGTGTGTTTCCTGGTTTTTACTCACTGCTTAGCTGATGCCTGTCGGAGACAGATTAAAACAAAAGCTAATCAGTCCACAGCTGTGTCTGAATGGTTTGTATGGCTCACTCCAACATTCACGTCATTATTAACTGGTATTAGATCTGAACAGGTAAAGGGTAACGAACATCGTTTATATTTTAACAAACTCTTATGATCTCAGACCTCAGTACTGTTTTACTGTTATATGTCTTATTGCTACCTATCGTCTTGTTTGGTTTTATATTTTGTGCTGCACCATGGGCCAAGGAGGAACGCAATCTCATCTCACTATGTATTCTGTATATAGGTGAAATGACAATAAAACCCCTTGAATCTTGAATCTTTATTTCTACCGTGTCCTCTGGGAACATTTCTCTGACTAATTCAGGAATGATTAACTGTAGCTACTGTATCTTCAACCGTGTTATTTAAACACACTATTCTTCTTGAAAGGCTGAATAAATATGGTATTAGAGGACCAGCACTACAGTGGGTATCTAGCTATCTGAAAAACAACAAACAGTTTGTACAAATAGCTGATGTAAGATCTGAACTCTGTAAAATCACATGTGGAGTTCCTCAGGGTTCTGTACTCGGACCAAAGTTATTTATTTTATACGTGAATGATTTTGTAAATGTATCAGGACTGTTTAAATGTGTTTTATTTGCAGATGATACACGTTTTGTTTGGGTAAAGCTATAGAATGGTTGTTGGAAATGATGCAGACAGAATTTGTAAAAATAAAAACCTGGTTCAAACTTAATAAATGATCATTAAATTTGGATAAAACTAAGATCTGTAGAGTCAGTGAGGTGAAGTTTCTGGTGTCATCATTGATGAAAAACTGACATGAAGAGCTCATACAGATCATTTTAGAACAAAAATAGCTCAGTCTATTGCAGTAATGTATAAAGTAAATGAGTTATTTAATGATAAATCTCTGTATATGTTTTATAATTCAATAATTGTCCCACACTTGATCCACTGTATTTAGGTCTGGGGGAAAGCATGTGAAACAATTACTAATCCTATTTTTATTTTACAAATATGGAATAATCTGGAAAGTGATTATGAAAAGGCTGATTCAATGAATTTGTTTAAAAGAATGATAAAAGCTAGATGGATAAAGAAATATGTATAATGTGTGTTCATAAGAGCTGTTGTTTGAGAAAGAGTTAAAGTTTTAGTTTGGTTACTTGAACATTATTATTGCTTGAAATGATTTTTTGGAAAATAGCAGCGGATATTATAAGGTTTTCTCTCTTTCTGCTGCCTCTAATTTCACTTGTCATTTGTATTTTTCCTTGTAAACAGAATTAGTTTTGTTTTTAAATGAAATTAATTTAAAAAATACATTTAGTTTGAAGTTCAGTGCAGCCTGAAGGACAGAGTTCTGTTGTACTGTGAGCTCAGGTGTGTAGTCTTCACTGCACACAGGAAACAAAATATAACAACTTGTGTTTAAAATGAGAAGTTTGACCAAATCTTTCCTATAAAAAGAGAAAATTAAAACAATTTGTTCCAATGCTGCCCCTCCATAAAGTCATCCCAACAGATGAAACTAATGCAGTGACATTGCTGGAGGCTGTGTTTGTGTTCTCAGTGTGTTAGTCCAACATTTTAGACAACATTGAACTGTTTTATGTCTAAATGACAAAATTTACTTGAAGTACTGGTTATAACATCTACTTTATTTTAATATTGTTGAAAATTTGAGAAATGTTTTTGTTTGTTGTTGAAACCTTTTTGCAATATATATAAAACTTTCTTTTGTACTTCTGTTATGTTCATTTGCACTACAGCTAAAATCTGGGTTTGATTATGATTACAGTTTTCTGCTAAATAAATGCTCTAAAAATTACATTTTCTTTGCTTTTTATTATCATTTTCTACCACGATTTATACCGTTACTGTGAAGAGATTCAATTTATACCCTGATATGAATCTGAGGTCATACTGCCCAGCCCTATGTTTCAATAAACTAAGATCAGAGAGTTCCTTTTCTGAAAGAGTTCCCCTTTGATGTCACTTCCTGTTTCACACTGGCTGAGCCATGTTCAGAAGAAAATCTGCCAGCTCTGTGACAAAACAGGTCAAACTGTGTGTACTGTGCCATGTTTGTGAAATATAAAGAGGTTTTCTTTGACTTTTAGCGTTTCAAAGAGACGCAGGTCTGAACACTGAAGCAAACTGAGCCCGAGTGCTGCTCTGACCTGATGGGACGAACAGGGTCTGGCCTTGCTTCAGAGTGCATTTGTAACACTTGTCCACCTGGTCAGCAAAAAACATCTCACTGTGATTGGACGAGGACCTCCAGCGCTCATACAGGGACAGGTTGGCTGAGGTGGGCTTGATGAGAAAGAAGATTTTTTCTCCCTGAAACAAGGGATAATCGGGACACGACTCAGGTCCTCTGAGAGAAAAACATAGAGTCAAACGAGTCAAGTTGTGATGGTGGTGGGACTGACACTGACCTTCAGGACGTGGTACCAGACGGACGCCCCCCCACACTCGATGTGGAAGTCTGTGTAGCTGTCTTTGACGCAGATAAGACAGTACTTGGTGACTTTGGGTTTTCCCAGCAGGGCGTCATCAGGCCAGTAGTTCTCCACCCAGGACAACCGCCGCACAATCTGAGGACTTTCCACTATAGAGCTCATCCTGCTCCACACAGACAGCAAACACACGCCGAGTCAGCAAACTGAGCACGAGCATGACCCCCCGAGGGTCCCACAGAGACCCGTACCTTGTGTCTGAGAACTCCAGGTTGATGACGTTCAACACCTTCTTCCTGTTTGTGCTGTAGTAATAATCAACAAACTCCTTCAGCTTCATCTGGCTGTCCGTCTGTTTGGTGACGTCCACCACGTCCACGCTGTCATCAGGACCTGAGACATCACCAGTGAGAGACATGAGAGACATGAGAGACACAAGAGACACGAGGGACACGAGGGACATGAGAGACAGGAGGGACAGGAGGGACATGAGACATGAGGGACATGAGAGACACAAAAGACACAAGAGACAAGGGAGACACGAGAGACATGAGGGACATAAGACACGAGAAACATAAGGGACATGAGAGACGCAAGAGACATGAGAGACATAAGACACGAGAGACAAGAGGGACATGTGAAACATGAGAGACATGAGGACATGAGAGACATGAGAGACATGAGACGTGAGAGACATGAGAGATGTGAGGGACATGAGAGACATGAGGAACATGAGAGACATGAGAGACATGAGAGACATGAGAGACATGAGACATGAGGGACGTGAGGGACATGAGAGACATGAGGGACAGAAGAGACATGAGAGACACGAGAGACATGAGGGACATGAGACATGAGAAACATAAGGGACATGAGAGACGCAAGAGACATGAGAGACATGAGACACGAGAGACATGAGAAACATGAGACATGAGAGACATGAGACGTGAGAGACATGAGACGTGAGGGACATGAGAGACATGAGAGACATGAGGAACATGAGAGACATAAGAGACGTGAGACATGAGGGACGTGAGGGACATGAGAGACATGAGGGACAGGAGAGACAAGAGAGACAAGAGAGACATGAGACACACAAGAGACATGAGATATAGAGACACGAGAGACATGAGTTATGAGAGACATGAGATACGAGACATGAGGGACACGAGAGACATAAAAGACACAAGAGACATGAGACATGAGGGATATGAGAGACATGAGAGACATGAGAGACATGAGGGACATGAGAGACATAAGAGACGTGAGACATGAGGGACGTGAGGGACATGAGACATGAGGGACAGGAGAAACATGAGAGACATGAGAGACATGAGACACACAAGAGACATGAGACATAAGAGAGACACGAGAGACATGAGTCATGAGAGACATGAGACACATGAGACACGAGACATGAGGGATACGAGAGACACAAAAGACACAAGAGACATGAGAGACATGAGGGATATGAGAGACACAATAGACATGAGACACAATACATGAGACATGAGACACACGCGAGACATGAGGGACATGAGACACACAAAAGACATGAAACATATGAGAGATACGAGAGACACGAAAGACATGAGACACGAGAGACATGAGTGACATGAAACACATGAGGGACATGAAACACAAGAGGGACATGAGAGACACGAGACACATGAGAAACACGAGAGACATGAAGACACGAGGGATGAGAGACATGAGGAACATGAGACACATGAGACATATGACATGAGGGACATGAGACACATGAGAGACATCAGGGATGTGAGAGACATTAGAGGCATGAGACACATGAGGGACATGAGACACATGAGAGACATCAGGGATGTGAGAGACATTAGAGACATGAGACACATGAGGGACATGAGAGACATGAAATACATGAGAGACATGAGGGATGTGAGAGACATGAGACACATGAGAGACGTGAGATATGAGAGACACGAGACACACGAGACATGAGAGACATGAGACGTGAGAGACATGAGAGACACGAGACGTGAGAGACATGAGAGACACGAGACGTGAGAGACATGAGAGACATGAGAGACACGAGACGTGAGAGACATGAGACATGAGAGACATGAGAGACACGAGACGTGAGAGACATGAGAGACATCAGAGATGTGAGAGACATTAGAGACATGAGACACATGAGGGACATGAGAGACATGAAATACATGAGAGACATGAGGGACGTGAGAGACATGAGACACATGAGAGACGTGAGATATGAGAGATACGAGACATGAGAGACACGAGAGACACGAGACGTGAGAGACGAGACATGAGAGACACGAGAGTGAGAGACATGAGAGACACGAGACGTGAGAGACATGAGAGACATCAGAGATGTGAGAGACATTAGAGACATGAGACACATGAGGGACATGAGAGACATGAAATACATGAGAGACATGAGGGACGTGAGAGACATGAGACACATGAGAGACGTGAGATATGAGAGATACGAGACATGAGAGACACGAGAGACACGAGACGTGAGAGACGAGACATGAGAGACACGAGAGTGAGAGACATGAGAGACACGAGACATCAGTCACACAAGAGACATGAGACACATGAGAGCCAGCATGAAGTGATGGAGTCAGAGCTTTCAGATCTTCTTTCATTCAGTTAATATGTGATGGAAATGTCTCTCAGACACCATCACACCTAAACTCTCTTGAGAAATAGAAAACAGAAAAAGCTGTTTGGGGCAAAACAAAGCAGCTTTTTCTGTTTTCTATTTCTTTTAACGTCTGTTAACCTAAGATCTGTCAGATGAACCTGGACATGTTTGGAATCAATAGAAACCTAAGAATCTTGTCTAAAAGATCATGTATTTTTACATTCACCAAACACAGTTCAAACATCAAGCAGTTGAATCAGAAAGTAAACAAACTGTACAAAATGTCATCACTGCAAA